TAGGCCGTAACGGTCGCAATTATACGTGATCTTCGTCCTAGGACCGCCATGGATCTTTGTTGACCGTCCAATACGAAAAGCATAGCAATGATGTGCTGCCCAGCCTTGAATTGAAGTATATAGCTCTTCTTTAGAGCTATATATAGCCTCTGGAGGCAGTGGCATAGACGTATGAGGGGTGGCATCTGCTGACGCTGGCTCAAGTGGTTACTTGAATTGAAGTATATAGCTCTTCTTTAGAGCTATATATAGCCTCTGGAGGCAGTGGCATAGACGTATGAGGGGTGGCATCTGCTGACGCTGGCTCAAGTGGTTGCTCAGGTGAATGTAAGGGCAGTGGCGACAGCGAGAGTTGAACGTCCATTTTCGCTATGTAGCTATGTCAGGCGTGCATTGATTACAGTCCAAAGTACAGTGCTGGTAGATGTAAATGCGACGCGCGCGCATTTCGGTGGTGGGGGGGCGTGAAAACCCGCGCTTAGTCAGCTCTAAACTGACGCCGGGGCGTCAGTGTATTGGGACCCTTTATCCGTTTCTTGTTCGCGAGAAACATAAAGAAGAAGATAAAGTGATTAACTATCTCAGGTTCGAATCCCTTTTCTCGGCACTTTAAAACCGCGAAATGCGGAGTATCCCTTAATCTACCAACTCATCAGAGTTAAGGCGAGAGCTCGAGACAGTGGGAATAAAACAGGTTCATCGAATTCGTTCAAAGATTATTTCCGAGTGAAAAAAATCATTTTTATTTGTCTAGGTAGAACCACTAGGTAGAGAAACATGCAAGTATTCAACAACGTGCCGCTTGAAAAGGGCATGAAGTTCTACTGTTGAGATGTTCTTGTTTTTGTTTGGGAAGTAGGATAGCTTGTCTGATCTTGTCATCTTACCTTCAACTTTGTTGCGCTTCGCATTTGTGGGGAAATCTGTGTTGATGAACTTGTTTTCTATATCTATCTCCGACATAAGATGACAAGCTTACAAAGACTTTTGTTCGCTCATCGATAGGTCGTGGTAAATGCTTAGGGGAAGTATATTACTCGGTAGTCCTCACATAGACGAATATCTTTTTCTGTCGGTTGAGATTGACTTTCGGGTAGTGAAGCACGTGGTGCCTTACTCTCTTCCTACTCGACTCAATGCTTAAATTGACTTTGTCTAATCAAGCAATTTTCAATTGGAAGAGGCAAAAAGAGAATATCGTACTAACCTCTCCGCCAGCTTCTCTCTGAACTCTTAGCAGATTCGCTACGCGTTTTCGGAAACAAATCCATGCTATTCTTGTTCATTAACAGCTCATATTATCCGATATTTCCATCTGAACTCCTAATTGTTGCTCTTCGCATCTGTGGGGACATCTGTGATTCACATTCATTGAAATCTCCTAGTGATTCTACCAAGTTCCATACTGTTTTGTTGCAAATCGCAAGAATTTGACTAACCGAAATAACGAGAACACGTTACGCAACCTGCTGAAATAGATTGGACGCCGAGTCTGAGAAGTACTTTGTTGCATGTCGAGAACTTATTCCCCCACTTAGCCAAGTTTCCTAGTTGACGCTGTGGTCTTGTTACATATTTAGTGGCTGTGATTAACCTTCCTAAGTCCTTGACGAACAGAGGTTACACGATATGCTGGAATAGCTGGGATGCCAAGTAGATGGTATGGATTATTTCACTTGGCAGATATCCAAGGCGCGATTTTGTGTTACGCTCAGATTTGGGGATATACCAAAGCGCTTCAAGCAGAGAGCAAGGCTTGATGTTACGTGTTGAAGAGCAATATTACAAGTGAAGCTCGCTATATGTTTTCCTCCGACAAACGAAGCACGATAAAAGTTACAAGAAAGTGTACTTATTCTGAGTGTCATTTTTAAAAATCCTTAGATGATCTTATCGAGTAAGCGAAATAGACTGTGTCTTTTCCATCAATGAGTCATACTTATAATAGCATGACGATGTTTTGCTCAAATACACTGGAAAGGAAAACACCAAGTAGCTGTATTGGGTTTTGTTAAGGCCCATGCGATGGCTACGTGTATATTCCAATTCGAATGCTAGATTTAGGAGAGTTAACACTATTCTAGCCATACATCTCCTTAATACAGCCCTGTGATAAGCTGCTTCTTTCCATACTGGGAGTGTGGTACTCAGACTTGGAAGGTGTATATGTAGTAGAAACAAGCACTTGGCAGGTGTCCTTCGGGACACCTTTTTACAACTGGCACAAATTCATTCATTCAACCACATATTCTTCTTCCATATCCTGTATAGAAGTAATATATCTAAAGTTCACGTAAAAGTCAAGAAGCGAATATTGCTGTTCACAAACGCACCACTCACAATGCTTCGAATAGCACGCAATAAAGTCTAATCATTCACAGCTTACTTATACGAAATACGAAATACGAGTATAGTGGCTGTGCATTTTAGTTGATGTTGTAACAAGTAGAGTTATACATTGAGGAATTGGGATCGGACCCTGTAAACGCATCCTTGTGTAGTGACGCTGATCTAGACTTTTACATTTACCTTTTTAAAGACGTGCATGCAACGGCGGGGTACAGTATCTTACCAGCTTTATACAATTTGGCGTCACTCTCATTGCCCAGGTAGAATGTGATAAATCTTTCCAAGCAAATCTTAATTGAGCCGCATAACGTCACGAGTCAACACTTGCAATCGTCGGTTCTGCCGCTACTTTTCATGGTGGAAGTAGATAATTGGCTCAAAGGAATCTGATGAAAAATATCTGTCATGTAGACTCAGCCTACTTGGAGACACTCAATTAGGAGTATGAGTATTACTAATCTAGCATAAAGTAATACCGAAATTTCGGCGCTCTCAAAGGGTGGACCTGGCTTTTTGAGTAAGCGAGAATATCGAGCAAGGACCTAATAAAGTAAACAGTGGCGGCAAAGCAGCTGACTTTCAACAGTCAAAGCAAATTGATCAATAGAAGTAAGAACCTTCAATGAAAAATCAATTCATGGAAAAGCAACCCTATGAAGATCATTTCCGGCCAAGAGTACTGCAAGAGGTAGGAGCTCAAACGACTCCCGATCTTCTACCGCCAAAAGATCAATATTCAATGCTACCTAGCGAGCCGTGCTCGGGTACAATTCGCGCCAAGTATAGAAAACAGCCTCATAACCGATAATCAAACTTCGAGACAAACCTTAAATAAGGAACACCAAATATCGAGTAACTCACTTATATTGCCATGGCATTCATATACCGGTATTCAGCGTTAACACTGGTGGCATTGTAAGAATGCACATGATTCGCATGACTGATTCGAATCAATCCGTGACGTCAATCTTCTTTGAAGTTGATACCCTATCTGGGCTATTAAATAGCAGGGCTATGCTTAAAACCCACTCGTAATTTCACCAATAATATTTATTGATCCTGGGTCGGAGACTTTCCTATTATGGAGGCGTTTTAAGTTCAGATCGCTTTACGATATTTATAGCACCAGCACCTTTAATATATCAGCCTTTCCCCTCCCTCACAAGACTTCCAAGCAGCAGCTCTCTTTGCTCTCGTTTCGTTCTTTTAGTATCAACTGTCACTCACTTATCTTCTCTGAATTTTTCATAATAACACACAATCTTTATCCAACATGACGGCAATCAAAGCGACAGTATTTTCTCTCTTGTTGAGTTCGGCCTCAGGTGCTGCCATGCATCAACGCCGAGGAATGCCAGCTCAAAACCCATGGCCAGCCACTTATGTGGCGTTGGGGGATAGCTATGCATCAGGAGTTGGCGCTGGGAAGTTCTTCAGCAACAATGCGGATGATCAAAAATGCGGTCGCTTCAACGGCAGTTATCCAAATCAGGTCGCGGAGTTAATTCCCAGTCTCAGTTACAATAAGGTTGACAGCTTTGACTTTGTTGCTTGCGGTGGGGACGAATTACCAGATTTAGTCAATCAAACGAATGCATCCGGCAGTCCATTCAAGAATGCCGATGTAGTTACACTTTCCATCGGCGGTAACGACTTTGGATTTAGCGACGCGATCAATGCCTGCATATACAACGGTCGTGGAGATGATCCCACAAAGGATGCGCAATGCGCGAATGCATTGAAAGCTTCCCAAGTGATCGTTGATGGTACTGAAGTCTGGGATAAATACAAGCAAGAAGTGACTAAGATCGTGGATGAAAACTTGAATGAACTCAAAGAATCTTTCTTGATTATCACGGGTTACATGAAGTTCTTCGCAAAGAATGATGATGACAGCGTTTGTGGCTGGAGACGGTTCCCGCTTCAAGGACCGCGGCCGGGAGTTCCTGTTGTCACCAACATTGTAAGTCACTATTTCCAAAACTTCAAGCTATACTGTTTTTCATTATTACATTCTCCTGTGAGAAATCGCAAATATATCATTCTAACTAGACTATCTTCACAGCTACACAAGTCCACCAGAGACACAATGAATAGTCTAGTCGACCAAGTCAACTCAAAAATCAAAGAAATGGTCGCGTCTCTAAACTCCAACAAAGTTGAATTCTTGGACATTGACCCCGCATTTGAAGGGCACCGCTTCTGCGAACCGACACAGCAGATACCCGTGCCATCAGCCCTTGGAGACGCCGATAATGATGATGTCTGGATCTTTTCCTTCGTAAGCAAACTTGAGGAGTCGCCTGCCAGCACCAATGGGACACTTCCACCCGATCAACTTCAAGTTCGTTCCGTCTTTCACCCAAAGCCAGCAGGTCACAGACAGACTGCTCTGGCAGTCGCAAATCTGATTCAGACTCGTCAAAGTAAATTCTTGTAAGCGTAGGATGGCAAGGAAGCTTGGTGGTTAAGTTGGCAGCAATGTTTTTATGGAAAAGATTTTTTAGATACCAGTGGACGTTATATATAGTATTAATTTGTTGTTGTATTGAGCAAATGGCCTGTTAATTCATGTCGGAAATTCCCCCAAAAAGAGCTTTGCACAATATACATTTTTTAAACCTTGAGTTCGGCGGTTCTTAAGTATACCGTGATTCCTGCTGCAAGAACTCAAATATACAGCTATACCCCCTCTAGTCTGCTGTTTGATTATATCACTCATTATTTCTTTCACCCTCCAAGCTGCCCATTCGTCTACAGAACGTGTCTCTTCCTCTTCACCTTCCGCGAGAGCTGGTATTATACCGTTACTCTTGAGCCTCCCCATCGAACCTCTTGAGTTTGGACGAACTAAATAATCCAAACTTAGCCGAGAACTTTCATTTTGTTTTCCGGGTACTTTGGCCACACGATGGAGTGAGCTACGCAGAAGTCCACCAGTCCATTCTACAAGAGTGTCTCCGATATTGATGACTGCACATTTAGGCTGTTTAAGAGATCTCTGAGTTGGCATCGCTACTTGCAGTCATATTTAAGGGCCTTGACAGTGTTGGAAAAGGAACAATTTATTAGTCTGCTTAAAAGATTAAGCGGTAGAAACGAGCAATTGAAAGGACGCACCTGGAGGCGAATAAATTTCCAGTTATCGTTGACGTTCTCAGCCCCAGCAGGCAATACCTGAAGGCCACCAGCTGTGGTAAATATCATGGTTATAGTGCCAATATCTGTATGACCTCCAAGAGTGACAGGACTCGCACTCGCATCGGAAGATGGGAGAGTTAGAAGCATACGAAGAGAAGTATGAGATAATTCGGTTTGGGGACAGAGCGACGCAAGGGTCCCAGGAGAGAGACCAAGTCTCTTGTCAAGATGGGAAAATATCACAACAATGGCTGCATAAGCATGGTTGAAAAAGTCCCGACATTGGTCTCTCTTGATTTCGATGGTTTGTGGATTATCATGTTTAGAACCACTCGTGTGTAATATATCGTCCTGGGAGATATTGTACATCTCGGTGGTATCCATATATCCATCATCTGTCTTGATTTGACCAGCGCTTTTGTATCTGCGTTGGAATCGATTTTGTCAGTATTGTCAATAAAACTCCCGATCAGACGAAGAGACCACATTACCCTGTTAGACTTTCCGGTGGATTGAATTTATATTTCTCGAGAGTCTCGGAATCAAGACTGAGTGTCGCTTCATTGATGCCGAACATCATCTCAGCATCTTCCAAGAGTCTTTCTCCATCCGTCGTATCTCTGAGGTCCAAGAGAAAGAACCCATGTTTTCTACATGCGTCATACAGCTTCTCGGATTCGTTTTCATTGCCTTCCAACAGTTGGTTGAATGAAACGGTAGGGATGTCAGCGCAACTAACATTGTGAGGAAAAGCGGCGCATCGATCAAGATACTTTTGTTCAGACATGAGCAATGAGAAGGCTTTTTGTGCTCAAAGTGAAGTAATTGATTCAATGATGTCTGTAGTGGTTCTTTAGACTACGATTCAAAAGCCCACGAACATGTTGTCTGTCGGTGAGCGGGAGAATTGTTGGTCGTTAACCCTATTGATTGTTGGTTATTGGGCCCCTCACTTCTTAAAAGATTTCCGATTTGGCACTTCATACACGGATGGTTTCTCCCTAGTTTTTTGGTTCGGAGACAGTGATCCAGAGGTTTCGACGGCCTACGAGTACATCTCACCTATTGACATCAATTTAGTTCAGCGTCAACGCGAAAGACTTCAAAGATTACTCTACTCAATTTGAATGACCGATTTGATATTATTTTGATTCTCTGTTTATTAACAACCTAGTTAAATCCAAATACAGAAATTACCCAGGTAGTTTAAAACTGGTCCAGAGCCAACCAAATACAAGCTACAGTGACATACTTCAAGTATCGGTGCCAGTTAACAGTTCCGCCTCCGTACACTAAGCGAGTCTTACTGTAGCGGGGGCGGAAGTAGCGATGCGTTCGGCCGCCCACCTTTTCAAATACGGGGAAACATCTCTAGCGTCCTTCTCAGGCTATGTATGCGAAATTGACTAGAGCGTTTCTGTTCCTTTGCACGTAGTCGCTAGACTCTATGAGGCAACGCTCCCATCTGCAATTGCAGTCATATTGGCTTAAGTATCTGGAATGGTAAACGCCGCGCACTTACAGCGGGTCAATTCTCACGCCGGGTATCGTGTTGAAAACAGAGGACCGAGATCTTATTTCCCTGTAAGTTCCTGGTTTTAGGGATGCTTAAGTTTTGACAATTTTCTGTACATTTAACAGCTGTAGTAAAGAAAGGACATTCAAGGGGTGATTCCAAAGGAGTTTCCCACCCCTAGATAAAAGGCATTCGCAACAATATGATACAACCTACCATAGAAGTCCCTGCACCTGCAACCGTTCATCCTCTTTTGAATCACCTTTCAAAGTCACCTCTCATCCTCTTCCCCACTAACCTCCGGCTCACTCTCTCCACCACCTCCCTCATGCACCATTCCTCCAAGCCCCTCAGTCTCACCTCCTAGCAGCCGACTCCTCTCTCCCACATCCCTCGAGAAATGGCCCGCAACACTAATCCCAGCGGTACTCACCCCATGGACCATTGTACTTCCCAGCACAACAAAACAGATAATTGGCCAAATATATAAAGTCGCTTTTTGCTTTTCATCCAAGTCGGGTCCTGGTTTGATATCTGGGCTAGGCTTGGGTATCGAAGTCCCAGTCTCTAACTGAGCCCGCGCTTCTATAACTAGGAACAGAGCACCGACGCCCATAGGTCCGAAGTGTCCACAGAAGAGTGCTTCTCTGTAGGTTCTGATGTCGGGGATGAACCTTTTTAGTACAAGGACGATGGGGATTCGTCGGAATAGAATGACGAGGAGGAAGAAGCCGAGGAGTTTCCCTACTCCGACGTCGACGAACTCTTTGAAGGGAATGATGGAGCCGAAGAAGATGAATAGTCCAGAGTTGAGAATCATATCGATGATAGCAGGGAACGGTAAGCTCCTCGTCTTTTTGGAAAACCAGCCATCATGAGCGAAACCAACACCCGCCCCAAACGCAACAAGAAAATCATCAGAACCCAACATCGACCCAACACCCAGCGAGAAAACAGCAAGCAACAAATAAAAAACCACAAAAGAACTCTGACTAATCCACTCCCTCCCCTCCGAGAATCTCAACACCCTGTTAGCCACCTTGCCAATGACCAACCCCAAACAAATCCCTAGAATACACTGCCACAAAACAGTAACCAACACCCATTCCTTTAACGCTTCCACAGTCGTCGAGTATTTAAACGCCATAATCCCAATATACAAAAAAGGAAACGAAACACCATCATTACACGCACTCTCCGCCCCAAGAAGATGCCTCAACCGTCGAGGAACCCGCCCACTGAAGCGAGAATTCGAAAGCACGCTAGCAGCTAACACCGGATCCGTGGGGGACATACAAGCACCAAGCACCATGGCGGTTCGCCATCCTATTCCTAACCCCCCCATCCCCAACACCAAGTACGCAAACAAACTCGTGATACCCCAACTGAACCCCATAACCGGGCCCAGGAACCAAACCACAGACTTCCAATGGCGTCTAAAGTAGAAATTCGGGAGCTCAATGCCGACGGCAAAACACTGGATACCCACGATTACGCGGGTAACCTCTTGAATGGTTTCGTCTGTGAACCCCCATTTGTGGGGTGTGATCCAGGAGAGCGAGTAAGGACCTAGGAGAATGCCATAGAGGACGGCGAGCGGGGGTTCAGAGAGGTGCAGAGTGTTGCGGATGGGGAGGCTAAGGAGGGCGTAGGTTATTAGGAAGAGGGCGAAGGTTAGGTATGTGATGTGGGGGCCAGTGATTTCTAGTTGCTGCCACATGGTAAGACGTGTAAGCGAGTTTAAGGGGTAGCGACGATGTGTGGTGAGACAGCTATGTGATTGAAGGAAATAGTGAAGGGTATGAGTGGTTGTTTTGGGAAAAGCAAAGTGAAGTGTTGCGTGAGGGTCTGGCTGCTTAGCGCATTCCATATCATGATGTCATGGGAGGTGACAAAATATTATGGAGCATGATCATAATAATAACGATCAGAACAGGGAGAATAACATTTTGAAATGGAAAGTTTTAAGGTGAAAATAGGTCAATAAGCTGTATAATAAATTGAGTGACCATACCATGATATTAGCAATTCTTTCTCAAGCTAGAAATACACCAAAATGTATCCCGGAATAGATACCGACTGTGTATTTCCCCTCCCAACGCCGTCCCCAATGCTAAGCCACCTCCCAAACTGATGTTACAAAGACCAAGGCCAAAAATATTAATAAGTTCATCATCTCAATCATCATATTCAATCTCTCCTTCAGCTTCTTGATCAAATGCCTCCTCATCTCCCAGCTCCGAGGCATTGCTTGGAGAAGAGACATCAACTCTTGGGGAGTTGGGCACATCTGAGGACTCTTCCTCGGCTCGTGGCTCTATTTCAGACATTTCCTTGGGCTCTTCTTTGAAGCCCACGGTCTTGGTGGATGTTGATGGTTTGCTGTTCTCTTCAATAACATCTCCGTTCCAAGGTTTGCATTCTTTGACTTCTTCACCACATCTCAAACATGTCCATCCCTCTCCCTCTTCAGCCTCAAGTCTGCTCGCAAGACATACAAAGCAGTATATACAACCACATGGGATAGTCTCATACGGATTCGTGATATCTGTCTGCGCGGATCCAACGACCCCAGAAGATGCAGCTAGAGCTTCTGCTTCGGTAGACGTCGGTGCATTCTGATCTTGATAGCATATCGCGCAAGTTCTTTCAGGCAGGAATGAGAATTCTCCGGTTTTGACAGTATCCTCATCCTCCCCACCGCTGTTCATGACTGATTTGGTTTTCCGCCAAATCCTTGCAAGCCATTTTCGCCACCTGCTAATACCGACTAGCGGTAAAACAAACAGCAAGAATTCTGTAAAGGCATGCCAAACTAGTTGTCGATTTAGGTACTCAAAAGAGACTTCCCGGCTGACCTGACTCGTGGGAGGAGCTAATCGTAACCTCAGAATCCGGTCCAAGATCGTGCGATATCTACCGTTCACCAGAAAGACCAGAAAAGAAACAAAAGCGGCCGTTGAGTGGATGGTCGATATGCTGTCTGATAACCGCGACAGCTTCCGCATCAAAGGACTGGGATCATCGTATCCGTTGTCGTTATCCACCAGCCAGTTCTCCCACTTAGTCCAAGCATACCTCCCTCCCACTGTAAATAATCCATATAAGGACTTCTGCCATCGTGACGGTGAGACCAATACTGGCCCTTCATTCCTCGCATCCGTAAACTTTAGATTCTGTAAAGCTGCACCGTACGTCGCATCATGATCCCAAATCGTGAGTTTGAATAGCACCGCCCTCAACGCCAGTAACATCTCAGCAGACCAGTCATCCTGTAGATGCGAACCGTAATATTTCAAAGCGCCCCCGACCTGCCCTTTTAGCAGATCTAGTAACTCCTCGTCCAGCAGCTCTGCATCAACCTGGCCGACTCTGAACGCCGGTCGCGTCCCCTCTCTACCTTTTATACTATCCCAGGTTGTTAGTCCCGCTTGACCTAGTCGTCCGAGTGGAAAAGGAAGTTGGCGGAGTTGTTGAGCTGCTCGTGAAGCATCTTGTTGAGCGGTCATGCGCGCTTGGGCATCGCGTTCTCGGGCTTCTCGTCGCGCGATGAGGCGCTGTTGCGCAAGAGCGAAGTCGTCGGAGACCATGCTAGGGCTATGGCTATCGTGGAACAGGGAACTAAAACATTAGATGGTGCGGTATTGTTGGGAAGTTGTTGTCTTTGGTTTAGTGAACATCAGTGAGAGGAGAGCGAAGCTTAAGACGGGGAGCCGAGGTCGATTGAAGCCAAACGGCCCGACGATAAGCCGGAGGCATAGATGATATAAATGCACAGTGGCAGTCAAGAATCCAAGCGTCAAAATTTTCATAATTTTCATTTTTGATACCTGACCTATTGGTGGTTTTTTGCTGTACTTTGAATGCGTCTTGAGCGTTTTTATTGAACCCATCTTGTTTGATAAGCGTTCAGAATCAAGGTTTTCTAGCATTACATAGGAATGACATTTCTGGTCATGATTACCCTTTAGTTTTTGGTTTTGTGATATCTTTCCCTCTCTGAATATACTGTTGTCACTTGACTGGCTTTACGGATCTATTGCAATACTATTGGTTCGCTCGCAGATGTCTCAGAGCGGGGATTGCCTCCACTTTCAATCGATTTCTATCGTTTTGCTGTCTAATAGTGGAAGTCCACACTCTCAATGAACCCTATGTCTGTGAGAATGAAGAGTAAGAATCATATATACCAATTCACATTTACTTAGGATGCAACTGCTTGAATTGAAAAGCTGCTACTTTCTTTCGTTTCATTCAGGGGAATTTTCTATCAGTTGTGATATTTTCTTCACCATCTGAAGAAAAACATTTTCAAAGTCATTGCATTCTACCTTGTCCATACGAGGCAACTGCAAAGCATTCCTCGTAACTCGATCCCACTGTCGAACCAAATTTGCTGCATCATGACGCAGGATTGAATCCTCGGATGCACCATGAATCCTTCCAGTCTGGTTCAAATGTAAAAAAAGCCCCCACATCTTTTATTCTAGTTTTAATTCTCGTTCTTTGCGGAAATTCTGAGTATAATTTCGGTTCAAAGACATGCACAACATCAAATCCATCGTTCTCCTTCCCCTCTTCTCAACTCTCACCTCTACCATCTCCCTCCCAGCACGCAAGCGAGCCCTCCAACCCCTCCCCCTTTCCCGAGATGGCCGCTGGATTATCGATGCAAATGGAGCTCATGTCCCATTTATAGGTATCAATTGGCCAGGGGCAGGCGAAGTTATAATACCTGAAGGTTTACAGTATCAATCTATTTCCCACATCGTGTCCAAGATTACGGACATGGGGTTTAATGTCGTGAGACTGACGTTTGCGATTGAAATGGTTGATAATACCGTGGAAGGTGGAGCTGACGTAGGAATTGGGGAGGCGTTTCAAAGAGCTTTGGGAGCAGAGAACGGTAGTTTGGTCTTGGGACAGGTTCTGGAGAAGAACCCGGGGTTTACGGCTGAAACAACTAGGTTGCAGGTACTTTTGACGATGTTTTTGATCTTGTTTTCACGCTGATGGAGGGCACTAATAATTCACAGGTCTTCGATGCTATCGCGCTTGAGTTGGCCAATCAGAATATCTATCTTCACTTGGACAATCATGTTTCTAAAGAAATGTGGTGTTGCAGTCTCACAGATGGTAACTCCTGGTTTGGAGATACTTGGTTTAACACAGATAAATGGACTCGAGGACTGACCTACTCATGTAGGTAAAGCCATTTGATACATCTGAATGGCATTTGAAAGTCTGTCCTCAGGTATTTGCTATGAAATCAACGACACTAATATTGCCATAGGGAAAGGAAAACTGGCCAACCTTCACCTCCATTGTCTCCGTAATGGATTACGCCCCTCGACTCTCTCCTTGTCAACTCTTGCCTCCTACACAGTATGCAACATGAAATGTCTTCCATTTTGACAAACATCAATTCTCACCCATTAGCACAACATCCCTATCCATACCCCCCCCGAAAGTTGAACCGCAAAAAGATCTATGCTAACTCGCACACAGTGGAATACCTGGAAAACCAACATGATCACCGCCGCAACACAAATTCACACCAACGCCCCCGACCTCCTCATCTTCTTCTCAGGCCTAGAATCAGACTTTAACATCCAGCCCATCGCCTCTGGCAGTACCCTCGTGGAACCTTCCTTCCACCTCGATATAGCCTCCTACCCCTTCGCCTCCAAGTTCGTCTTGGAAATCCACGAGTAGGACGAGAGCATCTCAGGGAATTGCGCGGTGTACAAGGCCATTTTGAATACCTTTGGTATGGATGTCACTCAAAGGACTGGAGGCAATGCGTCGGCACCGCTGGTGGTAAGTGAATGGGGACACAGTATGGAGGATAGGGATAGGGGATGGGAGGGTGGGTATAGTACGTGTCTGAGGGGGTTTATGGTTGAGAGGAGGTTGGGGTGGATGGTTTGGGTGCTTGCGNACAGTATGGAGGATAGGGATAGGGGATGGGAGGGTGGGTATAGTACGTGTCTGAGGGGGTTTATGGTTGAGAGGAGGTTGGGGTGGATGGTTTGGGTGCTTGCGGGGAGCTATTATACGAGGGAGGGTGAGAGAGATAGGGATGAGGGTTATGGTTGGTTCTGAGGCATTGGGGTACTTTAGATGGCTTGCTAATACGAGACTAATAGGTTTGTTGGACCATACTTGGAGTGATTATCGGGGTGTTGAATCTTCGGCTGCGGTAAGGAAGTTGGTGGAACATAGTTATGCTGCGTATGCGTGAGGGCTTTAAGAACCCGCAAAAGCCTCAACTCACAAGGGCGTCTCCATTGCTGTTGAAAAGTCTGGTTTTATAGGGATATATGTATTGTATTTATGTGTAGTATCTAAGAAGAAAAAGATGGAAGTTATCCTCCGAGTGGTTCGAATCAAGAGCGTATTTAGATGTGTAAGATACCTGGTCGTTAATCCGTACACACTAGATAAAATATTATTATACTAAGCTTCTAGGAGAAGTAAGATAATTATAATAGTATACCTAGGCTAATAAAAAGTGACGAATAAAAATTATTCTGAGATCTTTATATAATTAATTTAGTTATACGACCCTTTTAAAATAATTTTATTCTAAGAGAGGTGTGTACAGAGTAACGACCAGGTATCTTAGAGTTCAGTCTAGGAACCCTGGATTTCAGAAATGCATTCACAGATGTCTGCCAAGTTCGTAGAAGACAATATCTCTAAATGACTTCGAAGCAGCGCGTCTGGGCCTTGAAGCCTGGAGGCTGGATTCCCTAGGTCTTTCTTTCGTGCTGCAGGGTCGACAATCGCTGTTTATCCCATTTCTCAATATCACTCCAATACATCACCTCCTCCCGAGTGACCCCAATACCCCAATACTTAAGCTGCTCAACCGTCGGTTGCCACGCTCCAACAGCCATGCTCTGCACAACGTTCCCCCCGAAGATCGAATTGACATGCCAACTTACCTGCTTCCTCAAAGTATCCGTCAAAATAATCATAGAATCCGCCCAAGCTGGTCCGTGACCATCCTCGCCTGGTCCCCCAAGCGAAGGGTTGTCATAAATCTGCTTACAACACTCTTTTCTACAGCAAGACAACGCGATGAAAGCGTGCACCTGCTCATGTAGAAGTGTCTGAATTAGGAATTCCTCTTTGGAATTTGTTGAGTGTGGATCTGTCAACGTGAGGTCAGCAGAGGAACTCAGGATAATGGCACTGGTGGTATTTTCATACTGGCCTGCATTCGAGGGATCCATGTATCTGAGTTTGAGGGTGTATCGACCTACCATAATTCCCGCGAAGAACCACTCGTCGAAGATTTCTTTCCATCCTTGCAGGAGATTTAGGAGGTCTTTGTCGGACTTTGTGGCAGAAATTGGGGTTGTGAGAGTACTGAGGAGGGTATCGGAGAGAGGGAAGTTTTCTGCTTGCACTTTGAGGAATGAACTGACTTCAAGTGCTGAGTAACCTTTGATGTTGAAGAACCCTTCATCGTGGTACTCGCCTATCCGGGGGTGGTCTGGTGGCAGGACGTCGTAGATGTTTAGAGGTAGAAAGTTAACTATTTTTGTGCCGTCTTTTGCAATTTTGAATCCTTGGGCTTCTGTGCTAATACTTAACCTGGGGCTTTTGCTGCCTTCTTGATTAGGGAATGCCTTTCTTACATTTCTAAAGAGCTGCACTACTTTATCCATCTTGAGCTTCTTATTCTCTTTAGTTGTGAAAATTTCAGATGTACACACTTTGGGATCTACGTACGAAAATCAGTAAATGGGACTATAGAAAGTGAGTGTACTTTCCGACAATTTATACAAAAGGGCGATTCTCGTTTATCTGAATTTTCCTTTCTGCTGAGACAAAGAAAAGACGTTCCTTTATAAGGTTTGCTTTGTATCATCAATGTTATTGTTTGTTGGCAGCTTTCTTCTTTCACATTTAGACATTGTAGTATCACAAATAAATATCACCAAGGCGCCACAGAAATTAGAAGGTGAGCTTGGATAGCGGATGTGGTGTAGATTGGAACAGTTCTTGGTGTTGGAAGCATACTCTATATATGTACGGAACAGACATAGGCAGATCAGGCACGGATTCACTAAACGTTTAATAACAAACTGTTGTGCTGGGTCTACTTTCTCTTTTGCTCCACTTCCTGATTTGATCCACTTATAGCTCTGCTGCCTAAATGCTTCATGTCTGCATAAAACTAACACTCTTTATATAAACACCTTAGATAGCTACCTTTTACAATGCAATCAATTCTCCATGACCTTCAGTACCCAATACCCTTTCAACCCAATACAAACAATTACGTAAGTACTTATAGAACTCCTACTCTTACTATCCTTACTATTATATTATAGAAGGTAATACTTATAAGAATTTCTCTATATATTCTTAATAAAAGGTAATTATACTAATCTTCTAATATAAATAAAATAAAGATATTACTATACCTAGACAAACAAAAGTAAGCGTCAACAATTATTCTAAACTCTTTATATAGCTTTATATAGCTATTTTAGTTAAATGACACTTTTAGAATAATTTTATTCGAAAAGAGAGGTATATAAAATAACGACTACCTACGTCTCTTACAGGCGACAGTTACTATAGCTCCTCTAACATAAAAATCCGTATACTTATAAGATACTTGTTTGTAATTAAAAGTTTAGTGATTCCGTGTTCGATCCGCCCATGTCCGTTCCGTATTCATGGAACATTTTGGAATTCGTGAGTTAACTATACCAGATAATTCTTTACGCAATTTTGCATACGGTATTCAAACCAGTCATGAATCTCTAATTATCTTACCATGATCTGGAATACATACTACTTACAATTGCTGTAAAGACACTCAACTCGACCTCGTAGGTTAATAGTCTTGTATTCAGGGGTATTTAAGCGAAGGTTCCTGGCGCTCAGACGCCAATGTTATGCCCAGGATGTAGAATTGATTTCACTTAATCGCTGTTGAACACTAAGCGATTCTTACTAAAGTGTCAATTTACTAGTCTCATATAGAGATCTTGTCTTTTTACGGAACTAGACAAGAGCATAGAAGTCGAAAGGTAAAATACTACAAAATAGTCCCGGGACAACTCATCGTTTACACAAATACCATTGAGTTAGAACAAGACGTTCCGTATTTGCAACTTTTCTCCGATTTGCATCTTTTTATCAGTGAAATATGTTCATCATCAGCTGTACAGGCACAGTAAAGTAGCGCTGATACACTTAAGGCTAAGGCCAAAAGGACCGCCAAGGTACCCTTCATCAAAAAGCCCTGCTATAACACCCCTTATTTCTTTATTTCTTCCATTCCCTGAAAGAGCATTCAATACATTCACCCCTCTCACATTCATAACCTCAAGTAACGCATCCCGCACCAAGTCGTCCGGTACATGCCTGCGTAGCTTAATGGAAACATTAGTGAGAGCTTTACTTGTAGATTGACTAGTCAAACCTCTAAAAACTGAGTTCGTCTGGTTTATTGTCCGAGGCCGCCTTCTTTGAAGGTGAGGATATTTTTGCGTTCTTCTTTGCTATTTTCCTCTGTTTATTTTTTTTATCTTTTAATATGAGATAGGACAATATTTTCAGACCAGTTCGGCATCGTGTTGATAACACCAAAGCGTCCCTATCACCATTGAAGTCAACAAGATAACCTCGACGTTTCTGTATGAGGAAACTTTGATGCTGACTGCATCCTAAATTCTCGGTTTTCCTGTCGCCAACGCCAAAACCAAAGCTTCGACCCGCCCAATCGCCGTTCCAACGTGGTCGTATCTCCGCAGCCTTACAGCTGATAGTGGTCTTATCTAACAAGATAAATCTTACCTAAGTGCTAGGATGTGCATTTTCCCACGTGTTAGGGTGTCAGCAATGTTCACCAAGAACGCTTCTTTGGTTGTGGTAATACGGACTTCTAGAACCGAGACCATACATTTCCAGCGCATAATACAAGCAACTGTAACCATACTCTTACGATGCTGACGACAGAACACAAACTTGTACACCAGCTACTATATCCCAACCACCGCCCTATGCGGTACCAAGACTTGTCGGGTGATTACGACGTCGAGGAGGAAGGTCAGAGCCGGAGATGCTGGGTGAGCGCCTGCTTGCTTGCGAAGAGCAGTAGCAATCAGAAGAGAAACAGAAGGAAAAGATGCGAGCGAGTTATTTACGGTCGCTTTCTTACCCACCTGCGGTACAGCAGAAATGCACGATGATTACTGTGTTATAAAGGCGTTGAAGATGTCAAATACCTGGGCTAGAAGCTACTACGAGTATTGCGCCACATTTCCGGCATCGGAAATTACAACCTCATGTTTTTTATTCACTTTATCCCCTGCAGCCTTTTTCTCCAGACCGCCTCGCGTTGCGCCTCTCTATTGCCTCTCCATGTACCGGCTGGCATGCAGCAGAATCCTCATTACTAATGGTCTTATCGATGACAAAACCCCTTGCCCTGCATATAGAAACGGCTGCTTACATGCACCACCAGACGCGCGCTCGTTGAACCAATTAATCCGAGAATCATACCGGAATGGCCGATCGACGACATACAATTTTCGCCTGTCGAATGAGCAGATATTGATTATTCTGTGACCTTGAAACTTGAATGAAGGAACGAGAACGGGGCGGAATCCTGCCTAATGCAGAAACCTTCGAATTGACCTCTTCATTGGTCTACTATGTAGAGAACCGGCTTCGCTAGAGCTCTCAGCGACGCCTTTAACTCGTTTTGACCGCCTCTTTCAAATACGAGCTTTCAGCGGCAGGAGATATACTGTAGCCTGATTGTGAGGATTTACGCTTGACAGAGACTCCTGGGACACTCTGAGGTTCAATTAAGAATCAGACTATCTTGGGGTTCACCTTGGCTCCCTTACAAGGGGCCAATCAAGAGAGGAGTTATAGCGACCGACAGCCCCCGCTCTCGTCGTCCCAAAATGTCACCGTGTTGCAGACTTGGCAGGGCCCCATTAAGCATCTTGTCCCACGCAGATTGGTAAAGTGCATTTTCCCAAATCGGAAAACAAGTCGACATCGGCGTCATATCGGCCGTTTTTGTACATTTCCCACACCAGAAAATCCACGTGAGGATATGGATTTCGATTGCGATGCTTGTATTGTTGAATCCCTCTAGTTTCACTCGGGCCACAGGCGAGTTCCTACATGCAGGTACATCTTTCCGTCGGCAAGATTTTCCGGGAGACTTTGCACCTGAAGAAGCTCGCCTGACACCAAATTGGCAGACCTTTTTACGAACCGATCGATATACACGCATTGTTGTTATGAAGGGATAATTGCGTAGGGGTGAGCCTTACCGCATGCTTGCCCTTGATATGGTTTGCTACGTGGATTCATTTCCCTTATTCCCCGCAGTATCAAGAATTGCATTCATGAAGAACCGAGCAGACAAGAGTACCATTCTACTTTATGTGTCAGTTCTACTCGCGGGGGATTTATTCATGTGTAGTTTCTAAGTCACAGAATTTATTAAATATATCTACGATATGTGTTACCTACTCATCCGTGTTAGAGAAACCGACATCTTTGACCATGGGTGTCTACTTAACGGGTAATCAAGCTCATTTCTCTCTCTCTGGATTTGGGAGCCAGATCTGAATCTCAAATACAACTCCAGTAATTTACGCTGTCATCCTCCTATTGTTATGGAGAAGAAGGCTGTAGGGCGTCGCTTGTCGTAAAATGTACTTCTCAAAATGTATACCGCTGAATCTAATCGGCCGCCTGCTTGGAATATGTCTGGGAAAAGGCGAAGGTAATTAGCAATGTATGCCTTGGGTAAATTGGATCTTACAGTACGAAACCTCAAATAAACGCCTTCCATGGCGTCGTGTGTTTCGTCTGAATTTGTTTTACAGAGAACCTATTTGAGTCTTCCATTTTTAACATTGCTCACTCAAATCCCGATATACTGTGGAATGAATAATATTCCAGTAGGATATCGAACGCCAATACGCCCGTATTATTCTCTTCTTCACGATACTTTTCAAACGTTACATTACACCGCCTCCACAAGCCTCATGATGGCAAATTTTCGAGTTTGTAATTTTCGTGGCAAGTGTGAATAAAACTCAATAATGGATAGCAAGTTGTACACAGGGCTGAACTTTCTACCGAATCTGCAGCCCTCTGCATGCTCGTGGGGAGAGGGTCGGAATAACTCTATTTTCAGTTGAGTGGACACAGGGGTCAAGGATCGAATAGAAAGATGACTTGATATTGAATTTGGGATACGTATTCAAGGAGAATTGTTTGGAGTGCCTTGACTGGCTTTTTTCCTTTGCTGACAATGTGCTTCCCCTGCTTACAATATAGCTGACCGTCCTTGGCAAGCAGCCAAAGCCGTTCTGGGGTGGTATTGGTTCCCATCATCGCCATGGGATGCATGAATCAATGAACACTTGAGCTAAACGGGTGTTGGCGGGAACGTAGATCGTTAAGTACATATTGCTCCCGCTTCAAATGAACTACGGAGTATTCTGGTTCTCTTTCGCTTCAAGTGTTTCATTATTAATACATGCCCAATCCTCCTCCTTCCTAACTTGATAACAAAAATCAAGCATCTCATCCTCGAATCCTTATCCCACAGACCTTGTGTATTAATCAATATACATTTGGGAGTCGCTGTTGAATACCACCCACGTTTGCGCTTGTTCACTTCCGCCCCATCATGGCCACTTTCGAAATCCCATACTCCGATACTTTCGAAATGGGTGAATCGGACGATTCCATTTCCATGTTCTTTGACTTTGACTCTCCGCCTCCATCTTTCGACGACGATTTTCCCACCATGAATACACCCTCTCCAACTCGTGTAACTTCTCCTCCACCCTCAAAACCCACGACAACTACCACGGCACCTAGAGGAGGAATTCGAGTGTCACTTGCCTGTATACCAGTAAGCAGAACCTCTCACTCCACCGCACGCTTCTAAGGACGCAACTAATCATCCGATATAGTGTCGAAGTCGTCATGTGAAGTGTGGTGCCGAGACACCCGCCTGCTCACGCTGTCAAACGGACGATAAACAATGCTTTTATGCCAAATCCCGGAGAGGAATGCGTGATCGAAATGCACCCAAGAAATCAACATCAATTTCTGACCAAGTATCTCCGTCTCCTGATTTTCGACAAGCACAGCCTCATGAAAACTTGGTATTTGGAAATTACAGTCTTGTGAATGAGCCATGGAGGACTCCAACCAAAAGTTCGAGTGCAGCGAGTTCGATCTCTGGAAGTCTTGATGGGAGGTTTGTGAGTGCGTTGGAGGATGCACAGCCTACGAGTACGAGGAGACTAATCGGTTTATTCTATACGTATGTCCTATATATCCGTGAAACTCGCAACTTTGACTAAAACACCCAGATACTTCTACAAAGCCCACCCGTTCGTTCTCCCTCGCTTCCACTTCCTCACCCGTCTACAAAACGACCCTCTATCTCTCTCCCACCTTGTCACAGTGATCTCCTACATTGGTTCCCTCTACGATCCCTCAATCACTTCTACCCCATTCAGAGATCAGGCACTAGCCCAAATCGACGCCTTTTCACTTCCTGTGAATGGGTTCTCGGTTCAAACACTGTTACTAACTGCCCTTGCGCTGCATTGCGACAATAAAATCGAGGCAGCAAAGGGAGTGTTGGAACGTGCAACTTGGATGGCGGTCGAGCTGGGGATGAACTGTGCGGCTTTTGCGGATCTGGAACAGGATTTTGTACTTGGGGAGAGCTGGAGGAGGACGTATTGGGGGATTTGTGAGGCGGAGGGTTTATTTGCTGGTGTTGGGCTGGGTATTAGGAGTGCGGAGGGTCTTGGGGATGGGTTTGCTTGACGTGACGCGCGATGTTCTTTCTACATACACTTTGCATGTTCTGGCGTTTGGATGGCATTTCAGTTTCTTGTTGGGAGAGCGAGGGCATTGTTTTTGGGATGTTTTGGGGATGATATCAATATGTTTCTTTTGCGTCAGGGCATTTTTATATTGAAAATATGATAGAGTAAGGAGTTCGCTTTGCTGGGCAATACTAGATGGTCAAGAAGAGTGGTTTATACTGTTGATTAGTAGATATTAGGTTAGAAAGTCTCAACACTTCAATAATGCACAAAAGACATCTACATCGGGTCCGCAATTTTGAGTTCCGAATATCAACCCCCACCTTGACTCCGTTTAGTTCTCTATCAAAAGAGTTGATGTCTTTGTACCAAAATTGCGGAGAAATATCTTGACGAGGCAAGAACCCAACCAATCGAACAGTCTTCCTCGCATCAAATTCACAGCCCTTCTCCTTATCCTACGCAGTCGGCATTTTGTGGAAACTTTCTGAAACATTATTTTTACCTGTGCATTGTGATCCCCGAAGGATGTTCTCTGTGTTCAGAAGAGGAGTGGAACTCTTTACCCTTTACGGAAGGTACATCTTCTTTTTCAGATCTTTCCCGTGTTCTCACGGGATCGGAATTTTACCTTGCACGGTTTAACTGAAGAAGCAGAATTTTCGAACGGCTGCCTTGATATTTGTGTGAAATACTTAATGGGATAGGCTGATGGGTGGAATTAGAGTATGTATGCCTCGTATATGTATTCCCGTTTGGTGACCGGCATCTACCGAGAGGTCGTTGCTTATTTCGATTTACGGGAGTTGTACATGTAAAGATGAACGCAAGTCGAAGGAATTGGAGAATTAAGGTTAAGTTTGAGTAACAAGAGAATAGGCAGCAAGTATTGTAACCTGGAATACAACAGTGAGAAGGCCCGAGAAGGTGTCTGAGGTTAGGGTCTTGTATCCATGATTAGTTGCTTCAGACCTGGTAAGAACTTGATTAGTGTATCGGTTCAGGCACACAGGACCGCGTTTAATGACCGTGGTTGCAAATCCCTTACTGGACTAACAAAATCTCCCGAGTTGCTGCTTCGATGGGAGGTGTGGGGGGAGATGGATGGTTGCATTGCATTGCCACCTCGTATTCTCCCACTTGCTCAATTCGTTGATCTCGGCTCCTGAATGAACCCTTGTAACCTCGAAACCATTGGGTTTGAGATAATCTTTGGCTTCCGCTTTTCTTCTCCTTGTGATTGTGGAATACGTTGTTTTGCCATGTTCATAGGCAGCAGGAGTAAGAAAATTCCGCTTCATATTCTGGTGGTGGTGACTTTTTGGAACTTGACTCAATATTACTGTCAACCTGCTCTTGACCTGTGAATGCATCGGTAATGTTCAGTTCTGAGCTTATCTGGAATCTGGTTCACAAAAGTTCGTGGAACAAGTAAACTCTAGGACCCCCTTGACTTGGGGCCGCGTAGAGTATAATACCGCGGAATTATACCTAATACGCAGAGAATTATTCTATTAGCTAGAACGTCGTTATCAGAGAACTTAGCTGGTGGTGTGTATTATGTATAAGGTTGGTATATCTCGTTTCCATCTCTGCCCCTTGAGCATTCGCCTTCTTTTCCTTGAACCTGCCCATGACCTCAAGTGCCAAAATCTTCATCATTCACCCGAAAGGTCTGTCTTCTTCGTAACTTATGCCTTCATATACCAGTATAGTTCACTGAAGCGTTACAACCTAAGCTTTCCTATGCTGCTTCTACTGCTCATTCTTTTTTCCCTTTCCCAAATCTGCCACCGGTTTCTCAGCGTATATCCTTGAAATTCGCGATCAGAAGCATGGAGGAAATCAGTTTTTCCACTCTTCTCATTCCGGGCTTGGAGATTTGTGGGCAGTGGGCATGTAAAGCGGTATGCTTTGAAGGATGGTGATGTCGTTTTCGAAGTATGGTGCGGGCTACTGTAGAGAAGAAGCAATCGAGTAAGAACTAGAAGATTTTGCTGCTAGACCAAAGCTCACAATTTCAAAATCAAAACCACTGTTGTGTATCAATGGCGAACTATATAGGAAATATTACTGAGATTGAATCTTGCAATAATACCCGTGGGCATACGGAAAACCTTTCGATGCTGACGACTACACCGTATTGCCGAGCAATGGGTGAGAAAGAATTTAATATTTATCTCCATACAAATTTGTGGACACCAACGACTTCAAAGCATGGAGTTCAGACCAGAACCACCATCATAATAAGCTCCAGTTACTAGAAATGCGAATCATTCGTGCGAAAATAGAATGTATGATTTTTGATAACCGCAATCGTGACTGATACCCGGTACGGTCTCCATTTGCCGAATGGGGCGAGTTTTTGGTATGGGCCCAGGACAGATTATTTTCTATTGTTTGTCTGGCCAGATTTTTGATTTTATGTTAACTGAGCTATACGATGACTTCTTGCAGGAACAGAGAAGCGCGTGTATGAGTATTTTTTGTAAAATGATGTTTATATTGATGTATGCAGAGCAATACTCCTAACAATCAATTTTACACTTTCGTACAGCCCTCATGGTATTGCCAAAACTACTTTACCACGAACGCGTCCTTCTTCCATAAGTTTGATGGCTTTCCTCCAGCCTTCCCTCTCGTCAAAAGCTCCTTCAATCACTTCTTGAATCTCAACTTTCACTTCGCCTCGATCTGCGAGACGAGCGACTTGCTCAACATATGCTGTCTTCGTATAAAGCGCGATACAGCCATAACGAGGGCCCCAAATCCACCCTTGGATATACCTCCAGACTTGACCCGGGCTTGTCAAATATGTGATTGGGCCACCGATGGATTTGACATTAGTCTTGTCGCCCACTATAGTTACGTATGCTCCTTTGGGATTAAGAATTTGGGGCTAGTTTTAGATGAGACTTGAGCTGATCGGAAAAATGATACAGTAACATACATATATTGAGAGAAGACCGGTTCCTCCAACGCAATCAACAATCAAGTCGTAGTCTTGCTTTGTAAGCGTCCGCTCGGAACCAAGAGCAGAGGCAACCTCCTCTTTCGTATAGTCGATGACCTGATCAGCACCCAGTCCTCGGACAAACTCGGCATTCCGGGTTGAACATATTGCAGTTACGTGGCAGTCATAGACAACTTTAGCGACTGTGTAACAATCAGCCTTGAGACTTGACATTCTAAATTAAAATCTTGATTGAAATAAGAAATGAAATCTCACGTTGGACTAGCCACATCCCAGTTCCTCCTGAGGCACCTCTGATGGCAACTTTTCTAGAACTGGTAGAATTAGGCAGTAGCGGTGGCAACCACACCAAGCAAGAGAAGGCAGTCATGGCTACAAGAGGTATGGAAGAAGCTTGCTCATGTTTGAGGCTGGTTGGTTTCTTTGCTACGGGGTCTGAGGCTGGGTTGACATTAATGTACTGGCTGAAGGTGCCTTGCCCAAACTAGGAAATTCATCAGTCATGATATTCATGTATATTTATGGTTTTCAATGACAAACGAACAGAAGAAAACTATACTCAGGCAAAGGATTAATAAAAAGAAGTAACAAAATAAGCCAAAATCGACGCAAGGAATTTGGAAATAAACCCACCACATGAAATAATAACCCAAAAATATCATCGTCTTCCTTCCAACCTTTAACATCACTTCCTACAGCAACCACAGTACCTGAGAAATCTCTTCCCATGCCCTTGTTATCAGCTACCACCCCGACGAGCCCTGATCGCCATAATTGGATATCAACTGGGTTTACTGATGCTGCGTGAACCTTCACAAGGAGTTCATTTGAGGGAGGCGGCGGGATCTCTTCTTCGTCTACAAATAGATCCCCAGCAATTCGATTGAATCGGAGAGCCCGGTTTGTTTGGGGAAATTCCATAATTTGTTTTTTAGCACGTTGTAAAATTAGGTGAAATAAATGGGCGTTATCAAATCCCGAAAAATGATGACGACTCAACATCGGACTTATACAGTAGAAGGACCGAGTTTAGGAGTTACTGTACTGGAGTACCTCACTTGGCTCAAGATAACCATATCCAGATTTACTATTCACTACGAGGAAGGACGTCTATTCAAGGCAAAAATTTCATTGACAAACTAATAATCATATGGAAGATTTTGCATTGGCGAATTACTCGCACCACCGCAGTTTACACCATCACGACTTCTTCCACAATGACGTGAATAAGTGAAACTTTATTCTTGGCACGTGAATACCGAGAGGGGTAGGTACAGTCCTGCCATACTTCCATGAAAACAGCCACAAAGGTAATAAGATTTATGGAACAGACGCAACTCCTTGGGCAATTTAGGAGTTGTAGTACAGTACAAAGAGACGAAGTGGAACGCTGGGGGGAGACTGAAGGTATTAGGACATGAGATGTCTAGCAGAAGCGGCAGCCAAGGAACCTGATATATGTCAAAAGATCAAGTAAAGCACTTCTTTTACGCTATGTATATAGTTGTAGATAGAAGCCAGACCGCCCAGGGGAGGNGCAATTTAGGAGTTGTAGTACAGTACAAAGAGACGAAGTGGAACGCTGGGGGGAGACTGAAGGTATTAGGACATGAGATGTCTAGCAGAAGCGGCAGCCAAGGAACCTGATATATGTCAAAAGATCAAGTAAAGCACTTCTTTTACGCTATGTATATAGTTGTAGATAGAAGCCAGACCGCCCAGGGGAGGAGGCTGCTGGTCACTGTATAGTGATGAAGTGAAGTGCGCTTACCAAATGCGGTAAGCGTACTTCGGCAGCTGCGCCGAAGCTGGACCACTCCGGCATAGCCGCCCTACGGCGGGCGGCTGGAACCGAGTATGAATAAATCAAATCAAATCAAATCATACTTCCATGAAGACAGTATGATATCCTGTTTTCGATTCGCCGTCTACTGAACGTGCCGCCTCTGGTTATTCATGAAGAATCATTCCTCGGCTACAGTTTTGTTTTCATAAATATTCAAAACCCCCCCAGAAGATACGCCACATACTAATTACCCGCCATGGAGGCCCACGGACGCATCATATCGAAAATCCCATGGTGTGCAAGATTGCTTGCCAATCCAAACATCACGATAGCCCAAACTCCATCACGCATATACAAAGAGAGCACAGAAGATTCTCTATTCGCTGAAACATTAAAGACCAAAGATACGATCAGCGATTGTGTGACCTTTCATGATAAGGTGAAGTCAGATTCGGACCTCATCCGTCAAGTCAACATGATCGTCACTCTGGAGCATAAGGTCGACGGATTTCCTCGTAGCTCATGGGGGCTTCATTGCCGTGCTTTTTGATAAGGTTATGGGGACTTTGTTACTGTTAAATAAACAGCGGGTGATGAATCCTCTAATTGGAAGCGCACTTACGGCCAGTATGAATGTGAAGTATATGGCACCGCTCTCCACTCCACAGACAGTAATTCTTACATCGACAATCAAGAAAATCGAAGGACGGAAAATCTTTCTCGAGGCCAGATTAAAGGACAGCTCGGGAATTGTAGCAGCAAAGGCAGAGGCACTCTGGATTGCTGTTGGTACAGTTGATACGAAGGGAAAACTGTGATGCTGTCAGCCGTCTTGGAACTCTATGATGCAGTTAATAATTAGCAAGGACTGCCGTCTTGGGAAATGCTTTAGAAAAAAGATGATCACCACGTGGCTGGTTGAGCAGAAAATCAGTCTCAATAATGTTTGAGAGTCAGAGGTGGAGAGAAACAGGGTGCAATCAAGACATGGGAAACAACAGTAATTCGGGAAATAACCAGTAGATCTTGACTCCAGCAAGATATCTCTTTTTTGCCCGCCGCAAATCCTCATATTATTCAGTCAGAATGACACTTCCAAACCTTACCGTACTTTGGATATCTGCCTTGACTCTCTATTTTAGTGTATGCGATCAGTATAACGGGGATGTTTCGTGTGCAATAAAAAGACAAAAGTACTTGATTTCTATATAAACAAGCGAGATTGGAAGCTCATCAATATGAAATATGGAATACTTCCAATTACCGAGGTACTGGATTTCTCGTGCTAACGGAGAGATTATCCGCGTTCACAAACTCAACCAATGGTGGAAATAAATAAGAAGCCTTGGTAACTAACTAACATGCATATAGCATGCGGAAGCAGTGCCTCCGCATCCCACCGCCAACAATTTCGGGCCGGTCCTCCTAAAACCACAATTCCCTTCCTCATTTCATCATTTTGCGATGATCATGGTAACAATTAACGTGGCAACTGAAGCAATTCAGCCTCAAATCTGGGGTATATGTCGACCGGTGAAAGTTATTTTCCCCATAGGACGGCTCATAAAGTTTTTGCGTTCCGAGTGGATCGGCACCGAGGCTCTGAGTTTGGTGGTTAATCTCCTTCCTTGAGGGGAAAGTGGGAATGGATAAATTGCTTCTAGTAAACTTAATAGATTTAGATCAGTTTCTTACTCGTATGGACGGGTTCAGGCGTTCGGTGGGAGAGTGACGTCGAGTATAAAGTATGCAGCCAGCACTAGGAGTTTTCCTGTTTGGACTTTTCTTTGGATTTTGCATCATTATTTAATATTGTAAATACTGGGTCCCCTTTTCAACATGTTGCTCGTGAAAGCCCTCACCGCGCTGGCAATTGTCGCAGTAGAAAAAGCTGCAGCCACGATATTCTATGCAGGAGTCTCTGAAAGTTCTGGGGAATTTGGAGTATGGAGTAAGTACACATGTTCCTGTTTGAAGGCTTCCATACATGGATAGATATTGCATGGAAAGTTGGGCACTGAAATGTCACCTTTCAATGAAATTTAGCAACCACAGAGAAGCAAGGAGGGACGACACTGAATGTTGTCTAACGAGTCTCAGGTGCAACCGGAACCAAAGGGACTGGACTTCCCGGAAGGTTTGGAGTTGATTATTCGTTTATCGACAAGAGCGCCATTGATATCTTTGTTGATACCAATAAAGTGAGTACGAGTAAATCTTATTGCATCCCCAAATCCAATATCACGTGTTTTTATTTTCAACCATCACACACATGACAATACAAAACTGGAGATGATTTCCCAGCTATACTGATATTCTGTGCCAGATCAACACCTTTCGTATCGCGTTTCTTCTTGAAAGGATGTGCCCTCTGAGCTACGGTTTAGGTGCCAAGTTCAATGAAACTGTAAGTATTGCTTCCATTTACCCGGTATTCGGGGCTAATTTAATTTAATAGCATTTCGACTATTACGCCGATGCAGTACATTACATAACCAAGACCAAGGGAGCATATGCCATCCTGGATCCTCACAATTACATGCGCTACAATGATCCCAGTTCGCAACCGATGTCAGGTAGTGTCATTGGAAATTCAAGCGACGTTACGGCTGCAACCACAAAGCAGTTTGGAGAATTTTGGAAGGAGCTGGCCAGTAGATTTAAGCATAACGAGAGAGTGATATTTTCTATTATGAATGAGGTATCGATCTATGTTTTCAATAGGGGTTTTGGCATGTTGCTGACGGAATTGAATAGCCACATGATATGGAAACCAGTTTGGTACTCGCTAATAACCAAGCAGCCGTGGATGGAATCAGATCATCTGGGGCAAAGCAATTGTAAGGATTTCATCACTCCTATAAATAATCAGAACTCACACAATTGCAGAATTCTGGCTCCTGGAAATCAGTGGTCTGGAGGGCATAGCTTCACCCAAAGTTGGGTCGGTTACTCGCCTTCTTCTGCTGAGGCTCTTGTAAACCTCACAGACCCACTTAAGAATCTAGCATTTGATGTCCATGAATATCTCGATGTAGATTTCTCGGGGTCCCATTCAGAGTGTGCCTCACCAGCAGACACCAATCTTGCAGATCTCACATCATGGCTCAAAGCCAACTCATTCAAGGCCATGATCACTGAATTTGGGGCAGCAAATGGTACTCAATGCCAGCCATACCTCGAAGGAATCCTAGAATACATGAGGGATAACCCTGAGTATATTGGCTGGACTGCATGGGCTGCTGGTCCTTTCTGGGGTGCTAATAGTGCTTGCTGTGCTGATTCTAAGCAATGGGGAAGCTTGGAGCCGACGAGCATGGCGGCGGATCGAGGACCGGGGATGTATGAAACTGTTTGTAAGTTTTGACTTTTTTCTGCTTATAATTGTGTCTCCATTGGATAGAGCTAACCTAGTTTGCGACTTAGGGTTGGGTATCATGCAGAAGTTTGTACCAAAGAAGTTGGTTTGGAAAGGGGTGAGTAGTGTTAACGGTGGGAATCTGACCACTAGGAGATGAAGTTTGGTACGCATCGCTGAAAATGGGAAAGACGTGGGTCATGAAATGTAAATTTAAGGACAATTTTGTTTGTAAATATGGGGCTGAATCAACTAATCAGTGAACACAATCAGAGCTACCCTATCCCCCTTCCCCCTCTGGCTTTTTCTTGCGTGCGCAGATGAGAACTGAGACTTGGATTCCCGCAGCTAAGTCTAGACTTATCTCAAGAGAAAGATCCAACATATATCATTTTAGTGTAAGGGATATGTTTTGTTTTTCTTGGTAGCATCTGTCAACAAAAAATCCCAGCCCCCCCCCCCTTTACACAAATATATTAACTCTCCCTCATTCATTACAAACATTTATCTTTTGAGTTCTTGAAGTCATATTTATTGTCTCTTATACCTAGACAGATACTTACTTGGATCGTTCTGGCAGAGATATTTTGAAGTGCAATCAGAAGTTCCAGTTCGTTATTATTATTATTATTATTATTCCTTTTAACGTGCTGTGTGAGTCTGAGACTATAGTAGCACGGCTGGGGGTTTCCCTCCAACAGATGAGTAAAGCTGTACTAAATACATGTTTGAGAAGGGGTTTATGGTCATTACAGTTCTTGGGTTGTTGGAAGCAGCTAGGCTTCTGGTTATGACAAAAGAAAAGTTGTTATGTTGTAGTACGCCCCCTCGTTTCACGCCCTGTACGCTACACTTCCTCGTTCTCGTCTTCCTCGTCCTCATCTTCGTTCTCATCCTCAGTTGCGCGTTGTGTGTGCCATATTCTAGTGGCGATTTTGGTGGTTCGAATAAAGTCAAGTGTGGCCTCGACTCCTTTGGCGGTGTGAAGGAGGGATTTCATGGTGAACTCTCGAATATGATGCTTGAGGAGGTTGCGCTTTAGTACTTTCCTAGCATCCCCAGTTTCTGGACAGCTAAGAAGGAGGTGAGTGGGAGTCTCTTGTCTTCCACATCTACAGCGGTTGTTGGTAGTGTGGCCGAGCTTGTGTAGGTATGATTTGAAGTATCCATGGCCTAGCTTAAGCTGATAAAAGGCGCTGGCTATCTCTCTTTTTGTTCCTTGGGGGACGCAAGGTTTCGACAGAATCTTCCATGGGAATTCCCTTCGATACGAGTGTTGGTTAGTTGATGGTTCTGTGTGCCGGGGGGGTGTAGTAAGCTTTTGACGCCATTCTTTGTTCTGGGTCTGCCTGATCTTGACTCCTAGCATAGCAAAGCTAGTGAGTTGAGTGGATGGTTGGATTGTGGTGGCGGCTTTTGCAAGCTTGTCTGCTTTCTCATTTCCTGGAATGTCGGTGTGACCTGGTACCCAGTGAATTGTGGTAGTAGCTCCCTTGCTAACTGCCTTCCGGGCAGCTGTGATAGCTCTGATTTGGCACTCTTGCCCTGGGTTATCTGATGTGGTTTTTAGCCTCCGTAAACCTGCCTGGTTGTCGGAGTAGATGTGGAAATGGATCCCTGGTCTAGCGTGCTTGGCAGCGTATTCAACTACTAGCGTGGCCCCTTCAACTTCACCGTTGTAGACGAGCTTGTTTGGTCCAATGTTGACTTTCTTTTCGTAGTGGATTCTGTTTGATTGAGGTGAGATTACAGACAAACCTACCCCAATTCCTTGGCTATTTTCTGTTGTTGTAGAGGATGCATCTGTGTAGATGAAAATGCTGTTATCTGAGTTGTTTTGGAGTAGACGAAGGTGAAGTTTAGTTTCCTCTTCTTTTGAAAGTTTGCTAATGTGAACCTTGTAAGGAGTTATTGGGTTGAAAGGGTATTGGGTACTGAAGGTCATGGAGAATTGATTGCATTGTAAAAGGTAGCTACCTAAGGTGTTTATATAAAGAGTGTAAGGTTTAGGCAGACATGAAGCATTTAGGCAGCAGAGCTATAAGTGGATCAAATCAGGAAGTGGAGCAAAAGAGAAAGTAGACCCAGCACAACAATATTATACTAAACCCCTCATGTAATTAAATAGTTGCGTGAACAATAAATAAATATTTTAGACAAATGTTACTTTCACTATTTTTTAACCCAAGTAATATTAACAAACTTAAATCACTTTTATTAGACGTTTAGTATAATACATTTTTGTAGTGTATATAGAGTAGTTGCGAGACCTCTTACTGTGACGGTTCTAACCGTCACCACCATTCGGATCACGTGGTCTCGCTTAGCGACCCACACCAAGTATTTAGATCGAAGCTCTCTCGAGCTCTCCTCTTCTCCTCAGCTGAGAATCTTTGTTTAATTGACAGTTCTACGATTCCACAACCTACACCGTGGGCCTTGCGTACGTGTCGTCACACTTACTATCTAGCATATAGTAGTAACATACTATGTTTTTACCTAGAAATATATACTCGCTACGCTATAAATTTACTATATTACTATGTCTTCTAAAAGCCTGTTTTAGGGATATATATATAACTTTAACTATACTTCTTATATTAAGCTTATTAAAGATAAGCTAATTAATTTTACAAGTATAAGAGGATTAGTTTCAAAGGATTATTCTAAAAAGGATTAATATATTACTTAGTAAGTACTTAGCGTATATATAGTAATAGTTTATTAACTAGAGGCTATATTCAATCTAAATATTACTATATAATTAATAAATTATAAGAAAAGAGAAATTTAAGTACTCAATGAGCGAATTTAATAGTTAATTAATAATCTAAAGAAAGAACTTAAATATATCCCTAGACTATAATTTACTCTAACTTGTTTTATTTATTAACGCCTTATTTATAAACCTAATAAACTTATCTTCCTAGATTAGATATATCTTATACCTAGTAAATAAAAATAATGATACTATAATTCTATACTAGAGTTCTATAGAGTATAGACAAGTTATATAAAGTATTCTAGCTTCTAAGCTATATACTCTAAGTAGAGGTTTTAATATAGTAGGAGTTATTAAGTTAACTTTAGATACTATCCTAGGTTATAAACTTAACCTTACTATTTATACTGATTCTAAGTTAATCTATAATTATTTAACTAAACTTAGTACTACTAAGGAGAAGCGATTAATAATTAACGTAATAGTACTTTAATATGTAACGTGGTTTATCAGCGAGTCGATCATATCACCGAGTCGATCACTTTTCCTTGGCACTACCTCCTCAAACTTCAACACACGTTTTCTTCAACTATTTACCATGGAAATTCAAACTCAAGAAGCGCGAATTACTCTAGCTATCGAGGCTATTCGGTCGTCCAAAAAACTAAGCAAACGCTCTGCGGCAAAGATCTACAATGTACCATATACGACTCTTTCCGACAGAATGGCTGGCCGAACCTACCGCCCAGATTCTCAAGCCAATTGTCATAAGTTGACTGAGTTAGAAGAGGAAGTGATTATTCGGTATATACTGGATATGGATTCCAGAGGATTTGCGCCCCGGCTCGCTGGTGTAGAAGATATGGCTAATTTTATCCTTGAATCGCGGGGGGGAAGACGCGTCGGCAAGCTCTGGGCCCATCGATTCGTACAACGACAACCAGACCTTAAGACGCGTTTTAATCGCGTTTACGACTTCCAGAGGGCCTTATGCGAAGATCCTGACGTGCTAGGCGCATGGTTCCGGCTAGTAGAGAATATGAGGGCGAAATATGGGGTTACAGACTCCGACTTCTACAACTTCGACGAGACAGGCTTTATGATGGGTGTTATTTGTCCTAGAATGGTTGTTACTCGTGCAGACCGACGTGGTAGAGGCAAGGCAGTTCAGCCAGGCAATCGGGAATGGGCTACAGCAATTGCCTGTATTAATGGGGAGGGCTGGAGTATTCCTCCATTCTTGGTAGTTCAGGGCAAGAACCATCTCTCCAACTGGTATACCGACGGCGGCCTCCCACCTAACTGGGTTATGAAACCGACAAGCAATGGTTGGACAAATAATGAAACAGGCCTGGAATGGTTAAAGCACTTTGATAAACACACTACAGCTCGTGCAAAGGGTCTGTATCGAATACTAGTTTTGGATGGGCACGAGAGTCATGAATCGGCTGAGTTCCAAGACTACTGTACGAAACACAACATTATTACTCTTGGACTACCTCCTCATTCATCCCATCTAACCCAGCCACTTGATGTTGGGTGCTATAGTGTGTTAAAACGAGCGTATGGTCGGCAGATTGAGACGTTTATCAAGGCCCATATCAACCATATTACAAAGGTTGAGTTCTTTCTAGCCTTTACAGCAGCATACAAGGAAACAATGACAGTCCTAAACTGTCAGTCTGGATTCCGCGGAGCTGGCCTAGTACCATTTAACCCGCAAGCAGTGCTTTCAAAGCTTGACGTAAGGTTACGGACTCCAACTCCCCCTCGGACGTGTAGTGCCAACTCCCTCCCCTGGGTGTCCCAGACCCCTTCCAACCCAACTGAAGCCCTTTCACAATCAACTCTTGTACGAAATCGTATAGCCTGTCATCAAGGAAGCTCGCCAACTCCACTTTTTCAAACAGTTGCTGCGTTAGCAAAGGGTACAGAGCGAATGGCACATGAGATGACCCTTTTGTCTGCTGAGGTCCGTACCCTTCGCGCTGCAAATGAAGCCCTAAGTAAACGCCGTAGGGCTAAAAAGACTCGTGTCCGCCAAGGAGGGGCACTTATAGTAGAGGATGTACAGGATATGTTAGCTCAGGAGGATGTAGATGAGCAAGTACGACGCGACATGCGTGAGGCGGGGGTTGGTTATAAGGAGGGGCAACCTTCTAGGCGGCGCTGTAGAACTTGTGGAAAAGCTGGTCATAACGCGCGAACTTGTCAAGAAGTTATAGATATATCTAGTTCGTCCGATATAGAGAGCGATAATTAATTTAATATATTGTGGTTGATTTATTTAGGTGTAAAGTTCTGTGCCAAGAAAAAGTGATCGACTCGCTGATATGATCGACTCGCTGATAAACCACGTTATATAAATAATAAGAGATCTATACTATTATATAGATTTAAGGAGATTCTAATCCTATAGATTCGATAATAAAATTAAA